ATTATTTTCCACCTATTCAACAGTATGAATCCAATTTGTTTCTTCACAATGATAACATAAATTTTGGGCTCAAAAATATCAAATTTCACATAAATGGGCACAACTAACTGCACATATAACTTATCCATAATTCATAGTCCAACTCCATGTTCCAATATATACACCATTGTTAGCAGATTATCAAACCCACACAAGCATGCAAAAATGCATAAAAAGAAAAAAAAATTTAACACACAAGCATGTAACAATAACAAAAAAAAAACAAGACTCAATAACAAAAGACTAGACTCATAATCTGAATATCAGGAGCGGGATCTGGCTGTACAGGAGGTGGAATGTAATCATCCTCCCTGGTGTAATCTTGGTCCTACTGCTGCTCACGGCGCCGTCTCTGCTGTAAAATGGACTACCATGTTTTGGCTGCCGACGATGCATTAAGTAGGACTGATTTTCTCGCATGCAACTCTCCTGGGAGGAGTCTGACACCCGACGCCCGACACAAGCCGGTGATGAGAATAGGAAAGATCAATATATGCCTAGGGTCTGGGTCGGATGCCACATAGCAGATGAGAGTGTAAATCAAGGACCCCAAATCAATCTTAAAGCCTCATGCAAGATGATATAATAGAACGGCCTTTGGATGATTAAATGTAGTGCGATGTGAGCTCGGATCAATATTGTGCGTAATGAACTTATATAAGACAAGAGAATCAATAAGGTGTCGGTACTCAAATTCATTTTCATGAAGTGGCCACGCGTCATCTCGCCCATATAGCATTTGTGCAACGACTGACATGTCTGGATTCATTGGCACTGGCACAATATTATCCCTAGTCAATCCGTAATAGGCATCAATTACCTCAAGCGAGAACATTATCCATTTGTCTCATACCCATGTCTGGTGCATGTGTTCGGTTCCTGGAGAGTCTAACTCTGTAATAAAATTGGCGTAAAACTCTTGCACCATAGTTGGATAACTGTCTGAGGCTCACCAGCTACCTTTTCCCATCCTGCTAGATGAATGAGCCGAGTCAACTCAAATCCTGGGAAATCTTCGATCACAACCTGTCGTTCAGGTCATACAGTCTATTTGGATACCACATTTTCAAATTGATCTTTATGCTCGAGTGATCTAAACCGTCGCATACCCCCGTCACCAAGTCGTGCGCGAGCTGTGCCAGAAGATCCTGTGCCTTTTTCTTTACCTTTTGATGTAGACGCGGTAGTTTTCCGTTTTGGAGGCATACCTAGCAAATAAAAATAAAAAGACCGTTAGTTAAGCATATAGGATATATCAATCCTAACTAAGCAATGTTAATGTCAAATGAGAAGGAAACTGGGGCCGAAAGTAGGAGATCCAAATAGGGACGTATGTGGACACAGGTTATGTGATGCAAGTCGCGAAATATTCAATCAACATTTGTAGGAGTATATCATGATTTCATGCTAAACCCAAAAAAATCAACACCCAATCCATAAACCCATCAACTAACTAAGCCCATACTCCAACACAATTCAATAAAAACCCACCATTATCAAGAAATTAGGAAAACTAAGCAAAAATTCGAAAGTGTAAAGTAAAGCCATTGTACCTTTGATTTCTTTAACTTAGGTGGATAAAAGTGTGAAATTTTGTAGAATGATGTTGGAATGGAATGAATCTTCAATGCCCATGTGGAATTTGGAGGA